AGTCATAAAATTATTCGTCCGCGCTGTACGATTTAGATTTTTAACTGGGCATAAAGTTATTTTATTATTTTTATTATTATTATTATTATATTTTTGCACAATTGTTCACATTTTTCTTCCCGAGATATTATACGCACAATCAACATAATAATTGGTTTCAGATCATAAAAAACAGACGAATCTACTAAAAGTAGGTAGATAGGTAATAGGTATACAATACGTTATACGTACCTATATAATTTGTGGTACTACGATATTACTGTCGAAACGAATGCTAATAAAATAAAATGTGTTTACCTACCTATAGGTATTGGTATCCTATAGGAGTTGGGACCTAGGTACCTCTTATATACAGCCATTTACATAATATACACACATAATAAATATATTTTAATCTGTAATAATTACACGATAATATTATGATCATCATTTCTAAACGACGTACCTATAGTTATAATAATTTGATCGAAAACTAAATAATAAATAGCAATTATATTCCAGACCGTCAAATAATAATAAATAATCATCCCTGCGTTATAATTTCTTTTTCAATGACGCACTCATTATATTAAATAATATCTTTATAATATAGTGTTTACGCCACATATCCATATGTATATTGTATATATGTCTGTGTAAAATATAATGTACGTATATAGGTATAAACATGTGCCAACTGCTGCAATGTTTATTGTAAGCGATTAAAATATTATAATTGTTGTATCTCTAGAGGTATAGTACGCGTATGATATATTCTATAAGCTGTTGGTGATTCGGTACGGTCGATTTACGCGTGGTGAATAAAAAATGGAAAAATAATAATAACAAGATAGAGAGAGAGATAGAGAAAGAGAGAGAGAGAAAGACGGAACAGGACGCGTACAGAAACGTGTATGACGGCACACCACCAAACATAATAATAATATTATGTATTACAGTCCGAGAGAGTAGAGTCAGTGGAGTCCCACGTCGGTATAAAATATTTTCGATTTGATTAAAAACATAATAATAATAAAATCGAGAACGATCCGCTTTTATACATAATATAATATTATGCGCACGGGTATAATAAAAACACGGTTTAGCCAATAAATCAAAAACCTTTTATCTTTCTCGATATGCGGGCAATTACGATCTCTCCAGGGTTCCTTTATGATGCGATATGATACCTGCGTCAACGTTGCCGTGTTTAATATTAAACACAGAATTACATTTAATACGATTATAATTTATAGTGATAAAATACACAAGGAATTGAGTTTTTAAACGTTTAATGTATCGAGTTAAAATAATAATAATGTTGAATGCAATATTATTAAAATTACGTTCGAATCGTGTATTGGAATTATTAGAAGTGAAAAAAAGTTAACACATTGGTACAATATACCTACATAATAATTCATCTTGCCATCTATATTAAATTGAAAAATCATAATACCGGCCGTCACTGTTCCGAAGTATTGTTAATAGCTTATTTATCAAATATAGAAACGAAAATAATTGTTGTACAAAAATAATAATGCAAAGACACACTGTAATATTATAATATATCGTTGTAAATAATTTATTCCAATAACATAAAATATACACAGGTAACCATTTGATAATAATATATACATATAAAGTTGGTATGTACCTCGTGCGATTTCATCAGGCCGTGGACACGAATCAGTGGTACAATCAGTACAAGTTCGCGTTTGAGGTCTGTAATGTAAACGCACCTTAGTAGCTTTTTGTCTTATAAATTAAACATATCTCAAAGATTATTTCATAATTGTTTACTTTTTCAAACGACGAAATAGCTAGCTGCTAGGTACCTATAGCTTATGGTAGTTACCCATATCTAACCGTGAAAATGCCTTTTATATTTCTATATTTTTATTTAAACGCAAAAAAGTCAAACATGTAAACATAGAATCATAAAATTATCTCAAGCCTCGCTCCTCATATCCATAATACATTATATTTTATGATGTGTTTTATGGTAACGTAGGTAAGCTCGATCGCTCATATCCAAATCATCGATTATCCAATTAAATCTGACGTCATCGAAATTATAACCAACACATATGATAATTAATAGTATACATTATTGTATAGGACTTTATCGTGTAATTTATTAAATAAAAAGTCGAATGTGCGGAAGTGTTGCAGACAGTATATATTATGAAGGTACCATACGACGAAACAGTCGTGTTTAAATTCGGTTTTTGTCTCGTATACGACTCCGTGAAAATCGCTAATGGCGTTAGCCGCGCTTACGCCCTGCTCACACTGCAATCGTCGACTCGGAACCAGACTAATGATAATGCGTATTAAAATCAAATGTATCCGTCTCGTGCGACGGAACACGTGGCCAACACATTTTTTGTGCTGCACTGCTGCAGTGAGACCGGTGGTGTTTGTGGATGCCAAAACCCAGACGGCCAAGGTTTTCGGTGGGTTTAATGATTTTCGCCTTCTGCCTATAATAATATAGTGGTTTATAAACTAGGTTTATAACACAACGCATATACCATTCAATAATATTATTACAATACCTAATAACAATGTGATGTCATCGCCCATCACATTTTAAAATGTTCTGCAATATTACGAGACCTTATATGTATCAATACTTGTGCCAGTACCTATTACCTAGTTAATATTTAATTTTTAATTCACAAACTCGCACAATATAATATTATTCAAAAACGACTAAACGAGTCATAAGTAATAACTATAAACTAATGAATAATGTATTCCAAACATTTTAAGATTATCCGTCTCTTTAAAGACTATTAGTAATGGGGTTTATACAGAATAAAGAAATGTTTGAATTCAAAAACAAACAATAAAAACAAAATTGTAACAATATTTTCTATTATAGCTAGCATATTATATTGTATTATACGTTTACAATATTACAGTATTAATACATCACGTGCTTGTAGATGTTTCTTTGATAAGCAATAGATATGCATTAATAATATTATGCGTCAATAGAAACATTATAGAAACCAGCCACAAATATGATGTTTTATGTATAGGTATTCGATCCCGAATCCAATATAGAGGTACAATAATATGTACAGCCATTTAGGTATAGGCTATATCGTGTTATTATATTATTATCTTAATGTAGTCGATTATTATTTATTTAGCCTTGAAAATGGATTTCGTTTTGGTGCGAGTTTATTATTATTGACGTTTGAATAATAATTGTATAACAATATATACCCACCTATGTATATATATATAATATATAGGTACGGGCACGTAAATAAAGCCTTGTGTTGGAAAAAAAATATCGATTCTCTTTCGATTTATTTGCTTAACGGGTGGGAGGGGGGTGCGTTTATAATAACATTGTGATACCGATAAGAATAATAGAATACAGTAATA